GCTGGGTAGCATCATAAACCCCAGCTCCCAGTCCTATGATCAGGAGGGGAAACAACCAGTACCACTCCGTGTTGCCTAAAATAGGATGTTTGGCAGCTAAGGCACATTAAATGCATTTCTGATGTATATTTTCAGGTAGGTAGGTTTACTGGGACATAACCCCATCATAAGTCAGAGAATATCTGTTTACCAAAAAATGCAAAAAGGAAGACACTGGATACAAAAATCAGAGAAGAAAGAGACCAAGAAAGCAAGAAACTGCTTTTTATTTTTATTTTTGGTTCAGGGGATTGAATCCAGGGCCTTGTGCATGCAAAGTATACACTCTACCACCGAGCTAAACTCCCCTGTAACTGCATATTTTTAAAATTTCAATAGAAATTTGGAACCAAAATTCTAAACAATTTCTTTTGATTTCCCATCCCACCCCGCAAGAGGATGGTGAGTGCAGGCTCCTTATGATGGTCCCTGTAAACTGAAGAGAATCCTGATTCAGGATTCCAGATTTCTGGGGTTTTCCACCCAGCAGTGCTGCCTCAGGAGTAGATCAGCTGAACACGAAGTAGAACATGAAGATGTGCCATGACATGAGCACATGACCCAAAGCCACCTGTTTATGTCAGTCATCTTTACCTCCTAACTGCACACAACTCATTGTAGGGCTTACCTCGCTCCCTCCTAACACAGCTCTCTCCGCGAAATCCAGTCCCTCTTAAAATTCTTTCTGACATTTCACCTCAATTTGCTGACCTAACCATTTAATGTTTTTAAGCAATAGATTCTCCCTGATTCTGATTTCCCACTCGTATGAGTTGGGATTAGGTGAGTAAAAGAAAACACAAAACAATGCGCACACGTCAACGGATTTCTCCCGTGTAAACATCTGCAGCAGCAGGCCAGGGACTGTGGTGCTCCCTGCTCCAGGTGCCCATGTGCCCGGCAGCCTGAAGGTGCACGTGTGGGGCCCACAGATTACATGCCCACTGTCTCTGGGCCTAAGCCCATCTTTTCACACTCTGGTGCTGGAAGATCTGGAACTTGGAGAACTACATTTCTCAGGCTCTTTAGACAGCTGCTTCCTCCTGGGTTCTCCCAATGGGAAGTGCTAGATGGAGATAGGGAGGACCTTACTTCCTTTTTACTCAAGAAGCAGGGGCAGCCAGATACCTACAGTACCTCCAGGTTCTGCACTCGCAGCAGCAGGAACCCCTGACAGCTGAAGCACCAGCTGAACCAGCTCCCTCCTGACAGGCCAAGCCCCTGAGCCACCTGGGCACTGGGCCTCCTTTGGAAGTCCAAGTCCCTGCCAGGTAAACCTACCTACCTGAAAATATACATCAGAAATATACCCATGGGGCACACTCCAGGTTCTAGTCTACCCTTGCTTGCTCCCCTCTGGAACGTACCTGCTTCCTGTGTTGCGTTTCTGTGCTATTTCAGTGGCCCTTTTTCCTTCCTACACCTCTTCAACCAATTTTCTAATGTGGTGCTGGGCTTGAACCCAGGCTTTTAGACATGGCAGGCAGGCACTCTACGACAATGTCTTTCATTCAAACCCCTGTGTTTGGACTTAAGAGTGGTATGCTTTTTTCCAGACTGGGTCCTGCTACTGAGTTGGTAGTACTTGTTACCACATTCCCAAGACACAAATACAAGCATTCTCTAATATACTCTATATTTTGCTTATATCACCTGATTTTCCCAGTAGACTATAAGCTCCATGGGGGAAAAATTGTCTGTCCCTTTTGTTCTCTGTAGTATTCCCAATGCCTAAAACAGTGAGTGGCACAGAACAGGCATGTGTATTATCAGCCACAGTCCAGAGCAAACCCATGTGTCAGAAAAACAACATATGCACAGGGAGACAGAAACAGGGCTGTTTTTAGCCACAAATAACAGAAAACATAACTCACAGTAGTTTGAACAAATAGGAATTTATTTTTTTAAAAAATTTTCACATAAAAACCCAGCAGTTGGCAGTCTAGGGCTGGGGCAGCATCTCAACCAAATCAAGAACCCACTGTCTACCAGCTCCACGTGCTTTACCTCTGCCCTCATGGTTATGGGCACCCTCAGGGGTCTCCTCCACATTCCAGGCAAGAAGATAAGTGGGACAAATGGCCACACCATCTGCTTTTTTTTTTTTTTTTTTGTACCAGGGATTGAACTCAGGGGCACTTGGCTACTGAGCCACTTCCCCAGCCCTTTTTTGTATTTGATTTAGAGACAAGGTCTCATTGAGTTGCTTAGCACCTCACCATTGCTGAGGCTGGCTTTGAACTCTTGATCCTCCTGTCTCAGCCTCCCAAGCTGCTGGGATTATGGCACAGACCACCATACCCAGCCACACCAGTTTCTTCTTTTCTCTCTCTCTTTTTTTTTTTTTTTAAACAAAAGCAATCTGAGACTCTCCTCAGGAGACTTCCACCAGCTTGTCATTAGCCACAGCATTCACATGGCCACCATAGCTGGAAGTCAGCTGAATACTTAGCCTTCCAGCCACCAAACAAGAGGAGAGTGAGGGATGGTGTTAGAAGTGGGTGCTCTGGGAGCCAGCTGAGTGTCTGCCATAGGTGTTAGGGAAGGATTAGTGAATCAATAAATGCTGGGACAAGTGGCTGAAGACAGTGGGGAAAATGGAATCCCTGCCTCACACCATACACAAAAATGAATTCCAAGTAAACTGTTAAGTTTGAAAAGCAAAATTTAACTTTTGGGAAAAACAGTTTTGGGAGAAAGATTAGGAATCCTAGACAATCAAAAGCAGACTATACATCAAATGACATCATTAGAAAAGCAAAAGCCAAGCATACCAGAAATGTATTTCTGCAAAGCCTATTACCAGAGAGAGGAGCATAACCAGAGAATTCCTATGTATCAAAGGGGGTCAAAAAGAAAAAAGGTGTCAAAATTAAAGCACCACACAGAGGAAATACACATGACCAAAAAGCCTCCACAAGACTGCCAAAAACTGAAAACTGACATCAAAAGCTAAGAGGTCAGCAGAGAGCATCTCAGCTGTCACCCATCTCAGCAGGAAGAGAAAGGACACAACCCATTTTGGAGAGCAATGTGGCCTGTCTAGTTAAACTGAAAATGTACAGGAACTACAACTACCAATTCTTGTATACTTATGGAGGAGGAAACATTCAAGAACATTTGAAGCAACATTGGAGCTTCAAAGCAAAAACCTGGAAACCACTTATGTTTATTGATTGCAGAAGGGAGAAACTGGATCCATCCATACCACATAGGACAGTGATGCAGCTGCATTTTGAGCTATGTGTGATCCAAAGGTTCACCAGCACCACTGAGTTTTAAAAGTTGAGGCATATATCCATTTGCCACTTAAAGAGTTTTTTAAAAATGCAAAACAATACAATGTATTTAAAGATACATTATCTTCATGGTAACATTTTTAGAAACATAGTAGCAATCAGTTCTGGGAGGAGGAAACAAAGAGGGGTCCAAGTGTGCTGGCCCTCTATTCTCATGTTGTACAGCAAATACATCGATGTTTACCTTGTGTATAATGAAATAATTTGATTTTTTAAAGCACACGGCATCACACTACTCTGTGTGAAAATGCAGATGTGCGAACACCTGTCAAACTTTCTAAGAACAAACTTTAGATATGAATTTTGCAACAATTAACTTCACAGATACAAACAAAGCTATGCTCCAGTGGAAAAGTGTGCCCACCCAGCAGACCAGCACTACTTTCATATCTGCTCTCAAATCACCAAACACCTGCTGGTGGCTGAGACTAGACACTCTAGAACCACCCAAATGCGTTTTTAACCTTGTCTCTGTCTCACTCCACGACTTTCTGAGCCAGAACCGGAGAATGAGCCAGGCTCCAGGTGGCTCTAAAAGCCGAGTACCATATAGTACCAATTTGCCTAAAATTTTAGGAATAGCAGAACCAAAAATTTAAAGTCAAGCACAGTGAGGATGGTGCTAATGATGTAGTTGTAGCAGCTAGGAAGTTCCAGACCTCAGGTCTATATCATGGACATGTCCACCCGGATGCATCAGAGTGGACACACCCCCTGCCTGATCTGATGCATTTCCAGTGTCCACATAGTGTCATGGAGTGAAATGATTAATAGACATCACCCACTTAGAAGAATGATATCTAGTAAGCACTCAATGTTTGCTACTTTTTCAAGTAAAGAAACTTGTTTGGAGAAAAGTGCTCAATAAAATATTTTAATACAGGGGATCATGACTACTATTCTTAATTAAGGCTTTGTGATGAGGCTCCTAAACCTGTGAAGGAAACGAAGTGGAATCTCCCAGTCACTGTGAGCCATTTCCGAACACCTACCCTGTGGAAATAGGAGTTTACCACTTAGGAAATGGCAAGGACATGGCTCTAGTTAATTCTCTGCTCTGGAGAATGGGTTCATTGGCTTCTTTACTATCTGTATTTTTTGCAATAAGAACCTACTTGACAATGTTAACTACGAAAAGCCAGACTGTGACGGGAAGACAGGGTTTTTGTTTTGTGAGATTGAAGACCCAAATGTTACAGAACTGTGTGGGAAGAGAGAGAACTGGCAAGGTCTCTCTGGGGTCAGATTTGGACTGGGCAGGGACGCACTGCAGCAGGCCGTGACCTGGGTGGTGGTGACCTGAAAGCTGACACATGGTGATGCTCTCCCTTCAGCAGTTGGCTTCCTTCCACTGTTATCATCTTTGTTCCCTTAAGGAAACCAAAGGAATATGACTGCTGTCCCAGACCTGTCCTCCTGACCCTCCAGGTCAACCCAAACCCCCTAGATTGTCACTGTACCCTCCTACCACTGTCTTGGCCTAGCCTTGAGCCTGGACTGAGGTCACACCCTCTGCATAGGACCCCAAGTCTTCCCTAACCCATTCTTTCATGGGGGCCCTGGAGCACAGGGAGATGGCAAAGGCTGAAAGCTGCAATGCAGTGGCCAGTTGGAAGTTATCAGAAGAAAAAGAAAAGCAAGCCCCTGAGGGCGTCACACGGCTGAGGTTGGCTATTCCACTTTATTTAGCAAATAGTCACACTCTGGGCCCCACCGAGCAGCTCCTCCAGCATCACCTGAGTCTGCCTTGAGAAGCGCAGGGAACAGGAAGGCTCATGTTCCCCACCTGGGCCTTGTCTGCCACCACACACAACACACACCTTAGGACAACACCACTGCTCTGGGTCCTCAGGAGCCACCCCAATGTGGTCTGGGGGGCCCTCCAGTGTTCAACGGCCTCCTGTAGGGCCTCAGCTCCGCCCCAGGTACAGAAGCCCCTACTCCTGAGATGCCACCCCAGGGCAAGAGGCTCGTCTCCAGCTGTGGAGTTGCTACACCCCAATCCTGGGCCTGCCACCTGTCCCTGCTGGGCAAGAAGCAAAATGTACGAAAATACTTTTAATCATTTCTTTGAAACAGTTAAGAAATAAGGTCATCTTATTTTCTTTTACAATCCGAGTAAAAAAAACAGTTCACATTAGCGCCGGGGCCAACATCAGCTTCTTCCCGCCACGCCAGGCGCTCAGTAGAAACGCTTGTTCCGCTCCTGGCGCTTCTGGAACACCACAGCACCCACCACGGCACAGACGATGATGCCCAGGAGCGCGCACAGCAGCAGCAGGAACACCCTCCACCCTGTCAGGGGCCCGCTGCGGAAGTTCCCCGTGGGGTCGTCCACGTTATCTAAGGAAGAAGAGAGGGGGGTGAAAAGGCAAAGGGGCAGGGCTGCTGGCTGGGCTCCAGGAAAGAGACCACATAGCAGGCCCAGCATAGGGCCACCACACCCACCCTACCCGGGACCTCAGTGAAAACCAGAGACTCCTGGGCTCCTTCTGAAAAGGAGGTACGAGGAGAGGCCCAGGAATCTATGTGACAAGCCCCAACTCCCCCAAGTCGCAGTGTGAGAATCCCCCTCCTCACCAGGAGAAACGGCTCTGACCAAAGGCTGCCCCTACCTGCAGCTCTCAGCGACCTCCCCGGCTGGCTCACAGGTCCTGAGCTACCACCCACACGCTGCAACCCTCTCTAGCCACACCACTCTTCTGCCTGCCAACTGTCAATGGACCCTACTGGGTGCCACACCCTGTCACACGTGGGATCTCAGATTCTGACCACCCTGGAAGGTGGTACCTTTTCAAAACTGAGAGAAGATGAGGACTTGGCTGTGACTACAGGCCATGAGTGGAGGGACTGGGATGAGGACGAGCCTTATGTCTGCCGTTTGGCCTCCACACTGTGGCCCTCCACTTGACACTGGGGTCTGCACAGGCCTTTCCCAACCAGGCCCGGGCTCAAGTCGGGCCTTTCTGCTGTGCTGTGTTTATGCTGCTCATTTGACAGAATGCCAGCTGCGAGTCAACCTACAGCCTCCTTCCTGCACAGCCTGAACCCAGGCTGGCCTGCTGACCCCAGCCTCTTTGTCCCTGCACAGTGACAACAATGAACTGAACCAGGGGAGCCTGAGAGATGTTGCTTTCCTGACAAGCTCCTCAACCCCGGGGCTCCCAGTCCTCCCTGGTGCCTTCTCTGCCTCAGGTGCTAACTGAGCCCCAGGGTCAGGGCCTGCTTGATACAGCTGGGCAAAGAAGGAAGCTTCGAAACAGCTGCCAAAGGAACAAGTGCATCAACTTCTGAAAACAAGTTAATCCTTGCTTTGCTGGTCACTTGGGGAGGAAAGTACTCAGTAGCCAGTATGGATTTTCCTCTAACCAGATGATGGTCCACAGCTGGATTTGTTCCATCTCCAAAATATTTAAAACTATGTGAATCTTTGAAAAATGAGATGTTGGTGCGGTGTAGTGGTAGACACCTATAATCCCAATGACTAGGGAGGCTGAGGCAGGAAGATACAAGTTTGAGGCCAGCCTAGGCAATTCAGTGAGATCCTGTTCCAAAAAATATACCTTATTCCTCCAACCATGACATTCACTCTATGAAGCAGAATTCGTGCCATGAGAAGAACCCAGGGTTTGGAGTTTTGCAAAAACCCAAGTTCAAATCTTGCCTTACCTCTTTCTGGCTGAGGAAACATGAGGGTTTCAGCCCCTTCAGCCAGCCATAGACTCAATCTCCAAAGTGCTCACAGACTAACAGGCATGCCAAGAGTGCTGACACACTTCCTTCAGGCAACAAATTGCCGCTTGACCTTTTTTTTTTTTTTTTTTTGGGGGGGGGTGGTGGGTGACTGGGGATTGAACTCAGGGGCTCTCGAACACTGAGCCACATCCTCATTTCCATTTTGTATTTTATTTAGAGACAGGGTCTCACTGAGTTGCTTAGTGCCTCACTGTTGCTAAGGCTGGCTCTGAACTCAAAATCTTCCTGCCTCAGCCTCCAAAGCCACTGGGATTACAGATGTGTGCCACTGCTCCCAGCACACCCCCTTGACTGAATGACCATTGTCCCTAGCCCCCAACACAGAAGGGAGCAGATACAGTGCTCTGGGTGTCCTGATTGGCTGCTGCTGCCTCAATAGAAACCACATGGCGTAGAGGATATCCTCACAGATGGACTGGCTTTCCTGCCTCAATCATTTCCTTAAAGACTCACCAGAGCTGACTGGACCCAAGCTTCTGGCCTCTTAGGAACTCCAGGCAGGACCAGGAGCACAACTCATCAGGGACAGGGCTGATACAAGAGCCCAGAACACAGCCAGAACTGGACCAGGAAGGGCTGAGAGCTCCAAACTCACCTGAGGCCTAGCAGGGACAGTCTGGGTGCACATACCTTTAGGTGACTTGAGGAAGTTGACACCAGGCTCTATCTTGGTCCAGTCGATGTTTTCCTCATCAGGTGTGTGCTCTACCATTAGCTGGAACAGCTTGATAGAGATGATGTCATGATTGTCTGCAGGATCAAAAATGAGCCTGTGATGGCATGGAGCCAGCCTCAAGGCCATGGCCCACGGACCCCTCAAAGAGAAGCTGATGTTCCTGATATGGAGAGTGCTGCTGCTGCCCATGGCTGGGCCTGTTTTCTTCCTAGCTACCTTCAATCCTCGAGGCAGGCAGTATTCCAGGGGCTGGGTGTGTTCAGCAAGTACAAGGCCCTCGTTTCAATCCCCAGCACCAAAAAAATGAAGAGAAACCAAGGAAAAAGGAGGGATGGAGAGAAAAGAGCATGGGCTTTATATTCAAAATCACATGGGTCTAAACTGCAGGCCTGAGGCCCTCTCTGAGGCTCAGTTTCCTCTTCTGTAAAACAGGAATGATAATCTCCATCATGGGTGTGCACCATGGCAAGTAAATGAGCACACATAGATCACACGGAAGACAATGTGAGGTAGAGGGTGTATATTTAAAACAGGGACCAGATCAGGGCTGGCCGAGAAGCCTGATCCTCTCAAGGGCAGGCAGCCAATAGATGCTCCTATCAGAGATCTGTGAAGGATGCAAATGAGAAAGTCAGCATCCAGCTAGGGGCCCAAGCCCAACACACAGTTAGCAACTGCACCTGAGGAAACTCAGGAAAGACATGGCCCAACCAGCATGGGCAGGAAAGGACCACCACTCGACACTAACAGCTCTCCCATTTTCGGGGGGTGGGGGCTTGAGTCTCAGAGCCACAATATGACATCCAGCCTGCCTAACTAATTGTAAGCTCAACAGGCTACAATCTGAGGAAAGGCCTTTTATTTATGGGGGTGGGTACAGTACTGGGTATTGAGTCCAGGGGCTCTCTACCACTGAATAACATCCCAACACACACACATACACCCTCCCCCCTTTTTTTTTTTTCTTGAGACAAGGTCATGCTAAGTTGCTGTGACTGACCTTGAACTTGTGATCCTCCGGCCTCAGCCTCCAACTTGATGAGATTCCTGGTATATACCACTGCACCCAGCTAAAAAAGGCCTTTTTTAGAGGGAGAATCTCTGGAGCCATGAGAAGGGAGAACCTATATAGAGCAAGGCCCTGGCAGACAGGTCAGGCAGGGCTGAGTGGCATCTGATAGTCAAGCATACACGGTCCCTGGAGGCAGCAAGTGGCCAAGGAAAGAGTCATACTCTAGTTCCCACCTGAGCTCTGCCCCTTCCCATTTCCCATTTCCAATTTTTGGGAAATCCCTCAACTCTGAAATTCCCAGGGTGTTGGTTGTATAAAAAGTGAAAAGACGATTTCCTACTAAAGACTGTATCCCAGGATTGTCCACAGGATGCCAAATATCAACAACCCTCCAACTAATGGCCAGACACTACCACTTTTGGGGCCATCTCCACCACTCTTTACTGAGCTCCTCCAAACAGCCTTGGAGAGCATCCATCTGCCACAGATCTGGTTCTGTTCTCATCAAGAACCACCTGCAAAGTGAGCGCAGACCTACAATTCCAGCTACTTGGGAGGCTGAGGCAGGAGAATCACAAGTTCAAGGTCAGCCCAGGCAACTTAGTGAATCCTATTTCAAATAAATGGATGGGGATGTAGTTTAGTGGCCGAGCACTTGTCTAGCATGTGCAAGACCCTGGGTTTGATCCCCAGATCCACAAAAAAAAAAAAAAAAAAAACAAAACCTCTGCAGACCCATGCAGAAACACTATAAGACAAAATTTCAGGTAACCCAGGGGAGAAGATGGGGTAATGGTTATGGTGGAGTCATCAATAAAACAAGACTGGTCCTAAGTTAGTAATTACCAAAGATGGAAGACAGGAACAGGGTGCTTATTAGATCAATCTCTCATCTTGGGGGTCTATACTGACACTGCCCTATTATTAAAGTCTAAAGCAGCAGGCACGGTGGTACAAGACTATAATCCCAGCCAACTGGGAGGCTGAGGCAAGAGGACTGCAAATTTGAGGCCAGCAAAAAGGCAACTTAGCAAGACCAAGGGCTTGGAGTGTAGTTTAGTGGTAGAGAGCTTGCCTAGCATACACAAGGCCCTGGGTCTGATCTCCAGTACCAGAAAAAAATAAACAAAAAACAAAAACATAACTTTAAAACAAAACAAAGGACATATTGGAATTAAGTGGACCCATGTAGTTCTCTGGGGTGGGGATGGGGGGTCTCCGGCCAGTGAACAGGTTACAGCCCTGAAAATGTTTATCCTGAAGATAAATAAACTCTTTGTCAGGTCATTCATATCACATCCCAGTTCTGGTCAGCAGGAGTTAGCCCTGGGTTTTATGCCTTCTGAGCACTCTCAGGAGAAGACTGAGAGTCACAGCCAAGGGCCACCACTAAGTATTACCAGGACCTGGTGACCTGGCAAAGTCCATACAGGCCAGAGGAGTCCCTGTGCTTACTGAGTACCCAATGCAGGCCAAACGAGACATATCCCTGACTTCATGGGGAGGTGGGGTGTGTGTCTGGGGTGGGGAGCACAATAAAGTAGATGATATGGCTGACTCAAAGATAGTAAATGCTAGGAAAAAAGGTTAGCTAGGAGTGTTGGGCACTGGAGGAGCAGGTGCAAATTCTAGTAAGGGAATTGGGGAAGGCCCCACCAAGTAGGTGACATTAAAGCTAGACTCTAAGAAGATGAAGGTCAGACAGCAAGTCAAAAGGCCAGAAGCAGGATGACACTGGTGTTTCCAAGGAACACCTTAAGCTGAGTAAGAAGCAAGCCCTGAATCAGACGTTGCAGGGGTGGGGAGGGGTAGGTAGACTATGTTGGGATGGTGCCTTGCTGTGAATTCACCAGTGCACTGGAGATGGCATGGAGAGGAAAAAGAAAAGTACAGGATGACATCAGGGTTTTTCAGCCTGAGCAACTAAAAAGTCAGAGGAGCCATTTACATCTTGCTGGGCAAAGTATGGTCTTGAGTAGTGGGCATATTAGGGCTCAGATGGGCAGCTGAGTGGACACTGGCTACTGCTTATGTAGTAGTATCTGCAAGTATACAGCGTCTAGATTCAAAGTCAATCTCCTAAAGATAAAGGAAGACTGCTAATGGATTGCTCAAAGACTAAGTCATGGGCACACCAGCATTTATAGACAATGGGAAGAGAAGGAAGATGGTGAGTGTGGAAATCAAAAGAAGGTGATCAACTATGTGAAAAGGTTCCAACAGACCAGGGAAGGCTCGGGCTAAGAATGGTGGACTTCTCACTCAAACCACTCACCAGACAGGTCTCCAGTGCCAGCCGAGGCTCCAAAATAGTAGCCGGTGGGTAAGCGTACTCCCGTGATATCAATGCAATTTTTCCACTCATTCTTGTCCTCCAAGTCAGTCATCACCTGTGGCCAGCCAACATGTCAAATACACCTGCAGGCCCAAGCTTGCCATTTCCCCAGCCTCTAGAGAACCAGCAAAGGCCCAGCCAGCCTCCTCCCTCACACCTGCTCACCGTCAGACGGCCCCGGGAATAGCGCACAGCCAGGAAGGTATCATGGTCCCGGTTGCGAAAATCGGCCGTGCAACCTGCCAGCTCAGTCCAGCGTCCATCTTTGCTATGGTCATAGGAGAGGGAGCCATTGTTCACCATCACTGAGATGTACGGGAACACACGCTGGAACCAAGACACCAGTTAGTTCACTACTATCCCTTCTTCAGGAGGAAGCAGGCACACCCACCATCCCAACCCCTGGAGGCTGCTTTTGTGCCAGGACCAGGGAGAAATCCCAGACCCCACCCTCTAGCCAGCTGTCTAGTCCTTGCTTTCCTGCTCCACAGGAGAGAACAGGGCCCTACCTCAGTGGTCTCATCATTGGGGTATGTGTCCAGAAAGATGGCTAAGCCGTGAAAGTTGTCTTTGCTTCCAAACACAGGTCCTGGAATCATAAGGAGATACTCACACAATGGGAAAAACTGGAGATGTCCCCATGGGTAGCTCAAAGGCAATATGTGTAAGGGGCGGGACAGCCCAACTCTGGTCATTCATGCAGGAGACAAGGGAATTCCTAAGGATGAAGCTGAGATAGGGGGCAAGGAGGGACTCAAGTGTAACAGAGAGGACTCAAGTTTAGAGCCTGAACTATAAGGGGACAGCCACCTCGCCATGTGCTGTGAGGTGTCAAGGGGTTACCCAGTCTAGGAAAGATGGGAGAAGCCACAAAGGACCCTCTCAAACCAGGGTAGCACATTTTCTATAAAGGGTCACACAGGAAACCTTTACAGCCTTGAGGTCTATATACAGTCTCTGCTGAATGGCCTTCATATTCTAGCACTTAAAAAAAAAAAAATAATAATCCTTTAAAATGGGAGAATGGTTAAAACAGGTTACAAGGGGTATAACACTAAGCTACAGGACTAGCTGTTCCTCCTCTTCCCTAAAGGGCCCTCCTTCCAGGAGAGTAGGGCTTTATCTTCAAGTGGGAGCAGACTCCTATCAGGGCAGTGCAGGGTAGAAGATCCTTGGCCCCAGAAACCCAGGCAACTTCCTGCCTTGCCCACCCTGACCTCCCTAGTGGGCCAGCAGCCATGGGGCACCCACCCTCCAGGACCCAGTGGGGCCACCTGAGCAAGCACTGCCCTACCTGGTACAAGGCGGTCCCGGGTGTACCACAAGGCGATGCCATCTCCATGGAGATTCTTCTTCCCTGTGCCATGGACTTTGAAGTGGACGTGCATCTCCCAGTCTTTGAGGAAGCAAGGCTGGATGGGGGGTGGGAGACAGACAGCACTGCTCAAGAGATTCCCAGGATGTTTGAACAAGTTAGAGGCAACCCTGGCACAAACACTGCCCCACAGAACTATCTTCTTGCCTCTACCAAGACTTGGTACTTACTGATAAGCACAGAGCTAGGTGGCAGGATTACAAGTGTCACTGACCCTGGACTCCCAAGCATTTTCAGCAGGAAGGGAAGGGACTGCTGGGCCCCTACATGAGAAGAGGTAGGCCATGCAGTGTCCCAAGGCTGCCAGAGGCCCTCCTCTGCCTTGCCAGGCCTGTTCTCATCCTGGCCTCAACACCAGCCAAATCCCCTAGAGTCTGTTCTACCTCCATTCCCACTGTTCCTGCCCTGGGATCCTGAAAAATTACCCCTATCTGAGGTATGTATTTTACATAAACAAAAACGTGTTTTGGGGCAAAACAACTCATACTCAACAGATGTGAGGACAGTCTTGATACATACCCAGCTCTATTTGACCCCAAAACTTCTGCTGTCTTCTATACTTCCTACAGCCTTCAGGCCTTTAACATAAATGACACCAGCTACTTTCTGCCAACCCCTCACCCCCACCTGACTCTTCTGTTCTAACCAACCTTCCAAAGTGAAGAAAATCAGGCTCAGTGAGTGCCCAAAGGACTCGAACCTAAGTCTGACTGACTACAAAGCCCAACTCCTGGCCAGGATACCTGCCAACCAGGCCCAGCTTAAATGAGGTACCAGTATCAGTGCTGAAGCCTGATTAGGGAGGTGCTCTGGGTCCTTTTAGCCACCATATGAGAAGCAAATGCTCTCTGACAGTCATGGACATCAAGAACAGAGCTGAGCACTGCCTACAGCCAGGGGAACAGCTTGCCAAGAAGCTGCTCATGAAAACTAAGGTGTCAACAACTACTATGAGAAGGAAAAACTTTGCAGAAGTCAGAGATGTGTATATAAGCACATGATTTAAAAAACAAACAAACAAAACAGTCAGAAAGGCAAACCCAAAAAAAGATATGGTTAACCTATCAGATCGGCAGCTATTAAAAACATTATTATATAATGCAGATGAGGATGCAGAGAAACACACACTCTCAAGCAACAGGTGTGACTGTAAATGTAAATGGTCCTGTCTTCTTAGCGGCAATTTGGCTACAGCTTTTTAACAGAACAAGGGAGACCCCAGTAGTACTTATTACCTAATGATATCAATGATACTAAAAAAGAGGGTGGGAATGTAGCTCAGTGGTAGAGTGCCTGCCAAGCATGCATGAGGCCCAAAGTTCCTGCAAACAATATCAATGATCTGCTCCCATTTGGGGGTGGGGAGTTAAGAAAAAATGTAAAGCATTAACTGATATTAATGACAGGTAATTCTGAGAACTGTGGGGAATGTTTACTTTCTTTTTATATATATATATTTTTAGGTATAGATGGACACAACACAATGCCTTTATTTTTATATGGTGCTGAGGATTGAACCCAGGTCCCACCAGTGCTAAGCAAGCGCTCTACCGCTGAGCCACAATCCTAGCCCTAGGGAATGTTTACTTTCTATCTTTGAATATCATACAAATGAATATTGCTTCTGTAACCAAAAAAAAACTCAAATCAAAAATAAAAAACAGGCCGGGCACAGTGATGTACACCTGTAATCCCAGCATCTCGCGAGGCTGAGGCAGGAGGATAGTAGGTTCAAAGCCAGCCTCAGCAACAGCAAGGTGCTAAGCAACTCAGTGAGACCCTGTCTCTAAATAAAATACAAAATAGGGCTGGGGATGTGGCTCAGTGGTTGAGCGCCCCTGAGTTCAATCCCTGGCACCCATAAATAAATATAGATAGATGGATAGATAGATAGATAGATAGATAACAGGGCTGGGTTTGTAGCTCAGTGGTAGAGTGCTTGCCTAGCATGGGTGAGGCACTGGGTTCAATTCTCAGCACTGCGTATAAATAAATAAATGTCCATCAACAACTAAGAATAAATAAAATAAAGTAAAAAAGTTTGTCTCAGTGTAGGCAATCTAGTTTGTGCATTCTTCAATTTGCCAGATTCAATGTTCTATCTTGGGTTACCAGGAACCCAAATGATAAGATCCAGTCTGGTCTCTGAAAGCATGAAACTAATCAGGACCCACATGGCAACTCACAATGAGTTTAAAACTTCAGATCCTCTCTTGTTTGGGACAGTTCACTAGTTTGGAAACATTAGCAGAATGTGAAGGGGATACTGAGAGGTGATGAGAACTAGCTCTCAAGGATAGGGGACAAGGAATCTGAGTCCACCGCTTGCTGAAGACTATGGACGCCTTGCTTTGAGTTGGGTTCGCACAAAGACTGAAACCCAAAAGTAAGAGTACAATAGAAAGGCCCTTGGGGATTCAGCTCAGCTTTGAATCCTCTCCATTCCAAAAATTAGACTAAGGTGACTCTGGCCTCAAATTTTTCAACAATTGCACAAGTGCAATATCTGTTATAGGATCATAAATAACTGGTATACAAAGAGATGAGATCAAATAAAAACCAGATAGAGAATGAAAAAGAAAATAAGCCAATAAGAAGTCCAGATATGGGACTGGGTTGTGGCTCAGTGGTGGAGCGCTTGCCTAGCATGTGAGGCACTGGGTTTCATTCCCAGCACCACATAAAAATAAATAAAATAAAGGTATTGTGTCCATCTACAACTAAAAAAACAATACAATAACATAATGGGTGAGTTTAATAACAGTTTTAAAATAGTTAAGGGGAGGCCAGGTGCAGTGGCACATGCCTATAATCCCAGTTGCTTTGGAGGCTGAAGCAGAAAAATTGAGAGTTCAAAGCCAGCCTTAGCAAAAGCAAGGGCCTAAGCAACTCAGTGAGACCCTGTAGTCTAAGTAAAATACAAAATGTGGCTAATCCCTGGTACCCAAATAAATAGTTAAAGGGAGAATTTGTGAACTCAAGGTCATTTAATAAAAATATCCAGAATGAGGGCTGGGGCTATAACTCAGTGGCAGCGCACTTGCCTAGCATGTGTGAGGCACTGGGTTCGGTCCTCAGCACCACATAAAAAAATAAATTAATTAAATAAAGGCATGCCGTCCATCTACAACTATAAAAAAGATTAATATATATACATTATGTAATACATATATTTTATATATATATATATATATATGTGTGTGTGTGTGTGTGTGTATGTTTTAGTTGTGGATGAACCTTTTTTTTTTTAATTTTTGTAATACTTATTTATTAGTTTTCGGCGGACACAACATCTTTGTTTGTATGTGGTGCTGAGGATCAAACCCGGGCTGCATGCACTCCAGGCAAGCGCGCTACGGCTTGAGCCACATCCCAGCCCCATGGATGAACCTTTATTTATTTTTATATGGTGCTAAGAATCAAACCCAATGCCTCACACATGTGAGCCAAGCGCGCGCGCGCACACGCACACACACACACACACACACACACAAATCTATAAACCAAAGGAGATGAAAGAAAACGATATGCTATGTTTTGGATAACATTTGACTGTATCTCCCAAAGACCCATGTATTAGCAGCTTGGTCTTCAGTACGGTGATCATTAAGAGGTGGTAGGATCTTTAAGTTGGTCCTTGGTAGGTTATTACTGGCTTCTCCATGTCTCTGCACGTCATCTCGTCCTTTCATAGGTACTCCATCAATGATGCTATTTGTCATGAGTTGATGTAGCCAGCATCAACATCATGCTATCTGGACTTGCAGGCTCTTGAACATCAAACTAAATAAACCTATTTTTCTTTATGAAAATTATCCAGCCCCAGGTATTTCATTATAGTAACAGACAACAGATTAACACACCATACCTACACAAACACACACACACAGAGAAAGAGTGAGAGAGAAGAGAAAAAAAAAAATTTAACACGGAGGGAGGGGGCTGGGGTTGTGGCTCAGCGGTAGATTGCTCGCCTAGCATGTGCAAGGCCTTGGGTTCAATCCTCAGCACCACATAAAAATAAATAAATAAATAAAGGTATTGTGTTCATCTACAACTAAAAGAATGAAAGGAAAATTAAGACATTTTCAGACAAAACAAAAACAAATTAAAAGAATTCATTATTAGTGGACACAATTACCACCTTTCATTCTTTGTGAAGATGGAAAATGATCACAATATAAGAGTTCAGGAATGAAGAACAACAAAGAAAAAATATGAAGGTAAAAAAATCTACATAAATATTTGAGTAAAACAATTTAAAACAGAAAGCATTAAAATAAATGACAGCAATAGGGTAAAGAGAGTTTAAAGTATCTTAAGAACCTTGCATTATTCAAGAAGGTGGTTAAAGTATACATTATCCTTAAGTCTTTGGTAAACATGGACACATATTTTAAACTCTATAATAACCACTATAAAATTGCAAAAAGAACATACAACTTTCAAGCTAACAAAAAAAAAAAAAAATAGAACAGAACAATAAAAATTAATCCCAAGGAAATCAAGACCAGGGAGAATAATGAACAGTGTTCAAGTAAAACAAATAGAAGGTAAACTGTAACAGCCAAATTATATTGTTATTTTGTGTGCATGAATAAATATGTAACAAAAAATCCCATCATTATGTATAACTACAGTTTAAAAAAATGGGGAGGGGCTGGGTTTGTGGCTCAGACTCAAGAGTTAGAGTGTGAGGCACTGGGTTGGATTCTCAGCACCACATAAAAATAAACAAACAAAATAAAGGTATTATGTCCACCTATGACTAAATATATATATATATATATATTTTTTTTTTTTTTAAATGGGGTAAAAAAGAAAGGTAAATAGACAGGAGATCAAACTCAAGTGTGCAGGTAATTATATGTAAATGAACTAAATGTTAGATTAAAAAACAAAACATAAGGGCCCCTAGGACCTTTCTATACTATTTCTTACAATGGTGCATGAATCTACAACTAATTCAAAATTAAAGGTTAAACTTAAAAATTAAATAAAGGTATTGTGTCATCTAAAACTAAAAATAAAAAAAAT